CTGGTCACCCAGGAGCGTGTGTGTCTGTGAGATGCTCTTCCCTGTGTCTCACAGCAATGGATTTGCTCAGCTGTGGGTGAGACCATCTGCAGTTTATCCACACCAGCCCACAGTTGGTGGAGGGTGAGCTTAGAGGGCTCTCGTGTCTGACCAGGGCATGCTGGGCAGAGTTACTTGTTTCCAAGCAAGTCACTGTACAAACCCTGCTTTGTAATGTTTGGTCCCCAATCCCAGAGTGGTTTACAGGAAGCATAGGCAGATTTCCTCACAGAGATGGTTTGATAGGAACTGCCTGGTGATGGAATGGTACAAGATGACTCCCCACCATTCCATCCCCCACTAGACCTGTAAGTCACTGAATCTGGATTAGAACGCAGACATTTTGTTGCTGTTTTTAGTGCTTTGCTATATCATTGCCTTCTAGTTTTTTCAGTTGTTGTTAGTGATATTTCCAGATGGTATGTTATGTTATTTATTGTTGCTCAGGGGTCTCCAGGACCACCTTCTGGGTCAGTGGTTTGCTAGATGGACTCACAGAATACATAAAAACTGTTACACTTACAGCTGCAAGGCAGTGTGGCAGGTCCAACAGCTGCTGCGTTGGCACGTGCGTGTGTGTAGAGAGAACAGTGGAGATACCAAGGGGAAGGGCCGTGAATGTCTCACAGAGGAGGGGTGGTTGCCAGCCCTTTGGCGTGTCGCTGATTGCACTCTCAGAGCACCCCAGCAGCCTCTCCTCAGGCCCCATTGTCCAAGGTGAAGTTGTGTGGCTGCACTGTGGAGCAGCATCTGCAGTTCCTGTCGTGGGAGGTGGCGTTGCCCTCAAGGAGGGAAGGGCTTGGGGCTGGGTACCAGTGAGGAGAAGCAGCCAGAGGCTGGGGGGCTGCTGCAGTGGCTGTGAGACATGGTGCCCTTCTCATCAAGCCTCTTCTCCGCTGGGCCAATTTCCGGTCTCTGTGTTGGTTTCTAATCTGATTTGGCTTCCAAACCCTCGCCCCCACCTGTTCACCATTGTTATGCCCCAGCCCCTCAGTGTACCCTTGACCTGTGATGCCCAGAGCAGCGTCTGGGTACGGTTTACCTGGTTCAGAGTGTGGGAGAAAAGTTGCGCCTGGGGTCTCTCTCACTGCTTCTTATGAATGTGCTCTGGCATCGCCCGTGTGCGGACCTATGTTGTTGACTCCCACCGTTAACCTGGGTCAATTTATGGCAAACTCTAACTTTCAGGGTTTCTTTTTTTAAATTTATGAAGCATACCTGTTCCTGCCATGTCACCCATGTATTGAAGTATGTCCCGTGGTGAGTGAGGTGAATGCTTTTGTAAAAAATGAAGCAGTGTGTTAAAGGCCGAGTGTCCCTGGTACGTTGTTTCTGCCTCTGTCTGGTCCTTCTACGCAGGGTGGATTTCCCAGTAAGCAGGTGAACATGGACTGACGTACTCGTCTGTACTGAACAGTTTCACATGCTTCCCACAAAGAAGCCCGTGCCCACCTTCTTACTGTACTCACCCCTGCCAGGGGTTGTATATTTGAAAAGAGGTTTTGATTCTGTAGCAAGGTCCAGTCACGTTGGCAGAGAGGCAGATGCCAGCCAAACTTGGAAGTAGAAGGTTTAATGTGGTGAAAAAGTGTAAAATTGTTCACCTCTGATTAGTCACTAAGCACAAGGCAGCTCGTGCTTTGCTTCCTGGGCCCTCTGACACCACTTTAGTAGTTATGCAGCTGTTTCACCCAACACGTAGGCCCTGTGGAGAACTCCGGGACTCAGCTGTTTGTAGACCTTTTGAAATGTTTGGTGTTACAGCCATTAAGAAAATGAATAAGTAACAGAAAGCAAAGATTGGCATCAGGCATGATGCAAATCAAGCATGTCAAACGTGGGCATTGGCGTTGACTTTGGCAGTCACATGTTTTCTGCATTCTTGGGCCTATATGAGTCACCGTGTACTTGAAACGCTGGATGCACATGGGGGTTTATGTCTTTTTCCCTTTGGCTTTGGAGATTAATGTGCAATTCTGTCTGATCATGATGCCATCTGCAGTTTGTTTTTTTTCCCAATATGATGTTAACGTATTTAATGTTGACATTTAGCATTGGGTGTGTTTGTCAGAGCCCCCTGGCAGCCTCCTCCTCAGGCTCCCGTGTCCAAGATGAAGTCTGAAGAAACTAGAGAAGCAGTTGTAATGGCCAGTGGGAGAATACAGGGCACAGATAAGGGCCTCTTCAAGCCAATTAACATTGTTTCACGAGGTCTAAAAACGCTCTGATCACCTGGATTCTGGAGACAAGGACTGAAAGACGTTCATTTCTGTTGTTGTTGTTGGGTGCTGGGGAGTCAGCTCTGACTCATAGCGACCATTTTTACGCAGAACGGACACCGCCCGATCACGCCCGGCCTCACGGTCCTTGCTGTGCCTGAGCCCATTGTTGCAGCCACTGTCCCTCATCTCACTGAGGGGCTTCCCCTTCTTTGCCAACTGTCTCCTTCACCAGCATGACGTCCTTCGCGAGGGACTGGAGGCCATTTCTAGACCCTAGGAAACGAGAAGGCTTGTTTTCCTCCATCTGCCCCATCGTGAGAGACTTCCTTCAACCAGCAGGTCTGGCTTCTTCATTTTCTTTTCCCTTCAGGCGCTCAGTGCTCTTATGTGCAGGACGGGCTGTAGGCAGGCTTCAGTCACTGGAAACGGGAACTTACCGTGTTGCCTCTGGCAGCTCCCCTTGGTTTCTCCCACCGCTCCAGCGTCTGCATGGTTATGGCACTGTTCCAAGTCCACCTTCCCCGGTGCACCACGTTCTAGCACTTTACCCACCCCCCACCGCTGCCTGCTGGTCCCCCATCCATCCAGCCGTCCATCCCTCCAGGGACATCCGAGAGGATTATGTGGAATCATCCCTGTGTGGTGTCCTTCCTTCTGAAGGTGTGATTCGTGGGCAGGCTATTTTGGCTGTGATTTTAAGGAAGAGCCACTTCCTGTCCCTCCCTCTGCTGCTGAGCCCTTTCACTTAGGAGTCTTGCACAGGATGCATTCAGGAGGTTGCTCCTTTGTTCTCGCTTTGACAGTGGGCTTCCCTTACCCCTCAGGCTAACGCCAGGTTTAGCCACGGGAAGTTAGCTATTGTTCTGTCTGTGGACAATTTATTCATTCTCTAGCGTTTTTGCAAGCACTCTGCACTCTTTAAGTTCATTCTCTCCTGTGCTGACACAAATTTGAGGGATGGACATAAAGCAGAAATTAAGTCCTGTGTGCTCCTGCTTCAGGCTCTGTAGTGTGTCACCATTGCCTCCCTGAGGGGACAGATAGGAGGCCGCAGACATGCTTTGCCTGGCCCCACACTACATGAAGACATTTTAAATGAGTCAACCTTGAAATACCGGAAGACTTCATGGAAGAATCTGGAATGTCCGTTTTTCTTCGAGCCATCAGACGGTCTCGTCGTGTTGTCACACGTCCTGTCAGGGAGGCTCTTGGTGGGCTTGTGCTCAGCTGTTTGCCACTCCACCTGCATGGCCAGCTTCATGCACTCACACCACTTGACTGGTTCCCATGAGCATTGGCGTTTCAGCCCCTGGCTGTCATCAGAGGAACATCCCAGACTTCTCGTGGGCATCCAAGGCCCTCTGGGATCTGGCTCTTCCTCCGCCATGCAGTTCTTTCTCTCCCTGCTTGCTTCTTCATCAAGTCATAGCATACAGTCCGCCTGACTAATGGCATCCTCTTTGCCTTTACTACCCCTGTCTTAGATGGAATGCTGCCATTTTTATGGCACCCACTTCCTTTCTCCCATAAAAACCTAAAACCAGACCAGTTACCATGGAGTCAGTTCTGACTGTTGGCAACCCCATGTGTTGTGAAGAATTGTTCTCCATAGAGTTTGACCCTGTGGTTGTGAACTTTCAGAAGCAGATCACCAGATCTTTTGTCTGAAGTGTGTCTGGGTGGGTTTGAACCATCAACCTTCCAGTGAGTAGTTGAGTGCTTCACTATTCGAGCCACCCAGGGGCTCCCTTGCCCCATACAAATTGCCTCGGACCTGTTCTGACGTCCTCCGACCATTGCTTGCATACACTTGCTTTTCTGTATGACTGAAGCCTTCCCTCCCCCATGAGGCGTTCTCTGACTTCTTTAGTAGAGTCTGCCTTCTCTTCCTGTCTTCATCGGGTACCATAGCTTCTCATTTCAGTCAGCGCACATTGGTCTGTCCCTAACTGCACTGAGTGCCTTGAGGGCAGGGTCTGTGTCTTAACTGTTGTTCGTGCACAGTGCCCAACACATGGAAGGCACCTAGTGAATATTTGATGAATAAGGGAGAGATTTCTTGCTTGGACTGTAAATGCTGAGGACTGCATTTTTCTGCCATGTTGGTTATTAATGGTTCTGAAATCTGCTAGGCTTCATGAAGACAAGGAACTATGTCTGCTTTATCCAGGGCTTAGATGGTGGCCTGTGGCAGGGCTTTGTAAATAGTTACTGAATTGGATGACAGGCTGAGGGCTAAAGGTGGTCCCAGAAGTGATTCATTGGGTCTCCATAGCTCCATGGATTTAAGAGTTTATCTGTATCTATAATACATATTTATAGATATTTTAGATATAGATGTGTAGCAAACACGTTGCTGTCCAGTCAATTCCAACTCACAGTGACCCTATAGGACAGAGTAGAACTGCTCCATAGGGTTTCCAAGGCTGAAATCTTTACACACGCCGACTGCCACCTACCTCTTTCTCCCATGGAGTGGCTGTGTGGGTTCTAACTGCTGGCCTTTCATGCTAGCAGCAGAACGCTTCACCACCACCCCACCACGGCTCCTGTATATGTGTTTGTGTGTGTATGTGTGTATGTATGCATATGTATGTATATACAGAGTGCATATACTTTATGTATGCATTTTTATATGCATCCTTATTTTCTTTACTGGCCCGTAAAGGATCATGTGTGCTCTCCAGTTCTGTCATTGATATAAAAGGATATCTTCTAATCTTTGTATTTGCTTCTCAGGTAACGAGTCTGACATTGAACTAGAAAAGAAGTATAAGGAAGACGACCGAGAAAAGGCCTTGAAAAGACCCCGGGTACCGAAAACAGAGAAAGTCCAGAAGATCGCCTCGGCAAAGGAGGCTGGGCAGCTTTCTGGAGCAAAGAAGCCCATCGTAAGCGTGGTTCTCACTGCACACGAAGCTATTCCAGGTGACCATCATGAACAGGAGGTGGCGAGCGAGGGTCTTTGGGCCAATCTGTAGCGAGGGCAGGTTGACCTGTTAGCCTGCGGCAGGTTATACTAGGTTTGCATTGTGTGGTCGTGAGCAGGGAACTTGCTGATTGGGGCTGTCCATTGAGTTCCCATGAGTTTGGGAGGCAGCAGATGCACTGACTGCCTAGGAAGGACCTAACACCCACTGCAAAGGAAAGGTAGTGGGGGCCGTTGCCTCTGCACCCCACCTGCCCTGCAGCCACCCCGTCTCTACCGTAGCAGCCAGAGTGAGTGTCTCTGCTTTTCCTCCCTCATCCAGCCTCTGGCCCTGGTCCTCCCTCTCTCTTGCTTTCAGGATGCCTTCCTCAGGGCACTGGAGATACTGCTCAGACCAGGCTGCTGCAGGCTGCTTCCCTGAAACTCTGGGACTTACCTTCCCTCCACCTAACTTCTCTTTAGTATTTTTAGTGGGATCCTAAGATATTTATGATCTTGGGAATTCCATCACCATCTCCTTCCTCACACATATAGGTTCTGCTCTAAGAATGTCTCTTCCAAGATGAGGCCTATCTTACCTTTTAGGGCTCTTGGAAGAGAAATACTGTAAGTGGGTGGGTGGCTTTAAAGAACAGAAATTTATTTCTTTGTAGGTCTGGAGGCTGAAGTCTGGATTCAGGGTGTGGCTCTGGGGGAAGGCCTTCCTTGTCTCTTTCAGCTTTTAGGGCCTGGCCTCCTTGGGGACCTGGGCCTGTGGATGTATCTGCCTTCTCATCATCAGTAGTGTCTGGCTGCTTCCTGTTCCTACTGGCTGCTGTGTCTCTTGTGCTCTTTGTATAACTCAGAAGCCATTAGGTTTCGGACACACCCTACACTGCTGTGACCTGCACTGATTGAGTGATGGCATTGACTGCGTTATGGAAGGTGACTCCATCCCATTCTGTAAATGACATCCACAGGCACGTGGTTGGGGTTCCAACATGTATTCTGGGGGACATGATCTGATCCATAACAGGACCCTTTAGACAAAAATGCAGCTCATGACAGTAGACCCCAAAGGGTAACAATGCTTTTTCCCCTGTGGATTTATGTGATCTCTGTCAAATAAGATAGAAAAAATCAGGTGTAGAATTTTAAGAAAACAGACATTGTAAGGACCCGTTTTCAATGCCAATAAAACTCCTTATTTAAAATGAACTCTGAATAAATGCCTCTCTTACATTTCAATGTAGAGTGAGGTGACCAGTAGAGAATAAGCCATATAAATTAACTCACTAGAAAAACTTTCTAAAAAGTCATCTTGTCTACTCCACCCTATTTCAGAGAGCAGTATTCTCTAGAAATAAAAACACCAGAGGAGGTTTTCTGTTCTCATAGTATCCAGAGGATGTTTCCACAATTTTTTCTTAAAAATGAGTGGGAGTATGTTGAGTATGTTGAGACTTCTGTAAGTGGGAGTAGAAAGTGTCATTAATTTCTTTTGCTAGTTCAGAAACAAGGGGTAGACTGGAGCCTTTGCTGGTGTGTTTGATGCACATACTAACACACACACACACACACATCTGTCACGTTACACATGACTTGTCTTCTGCTGTAAAACGTCTGAGAGCGTCTCACGTCACAGAATTGCAGAAGTGGGAGTGGCCGTTGGTACTGCCTGTTCAGGTCCTCATCTCATGGAGTAGGAATGGAGGCCCAGTGATGTTGAGCTGGTGGCATATTTAGGGTGGGACTCCAGGTGGTTTCCATTCCGCTTCCCAGTTTATTATACTCTTGTAGACTACTTTATGGAGTTTTAGACATACTTAGAGTTTAACACACGTGATCCTACATAGCATAGTGCCTAAGGCACTTGACTGCTAACCAGAAGGCTGGTGGTTCAAACCCACCAGCCACTCCTTGGAAGGAAGATGGGGCAATCTACTTCCATAGTGATACTGCCTTGGAAACCCAAGGAGGGGTCGCTATGAGTCGGGTCCGACTCGATGGCACACAACAACAACAACAACAATAATATACACAAATATTTGTGTATATAGATGTGTGTGTGTGTGTGTGTGTAATAAGTAGGCAAAGTAAAAATGTAGGTCAGGAAGACACTTTGTCAAAGTATTAGAAAATGCCCCTGACCCATACACAGACATATATACACACGTACATGCATATACACATAGAAGTTACAGGTGTGAACTGAAGGGAAACTAATAGCTTGGGTAGTATTGTACAGTAAACAAATCCAGTCCCCAGAAGGGCCCCTCCTTGGGGTGGGCTCAGTGCCCACGTGTGAAGCCTCTTTAACCAGCAGTGCATTATGCATCCATGTCAGGTGCCACCAAGATTGTTCCAGTGGAAGCAGGGCCCCCGGAGGCAGAAGTGGCTAACCCTGAGAGCGCTGTGGCTGACCTCACCCATCGGAGGGGCTACCAGGAATATGCCATCCAGCAGACACCATACGAGCAGCCAATGAAGTCAAGCAGGTAATGGGTTTTGGTGTGTGAATCTTCAAAGGCTGAGACTATGACCTCCACAGGGAAGAGGGCCCAGTGTGTCAGTCCACCAGGCATGCCAGTGACCTCCATGGGGCAGAAGACCCAGTGTGTCAGTCCACCAGGCATGTCAGTGACCTCCACGGGGGACGAGGGCCCAGTATATCAGTCCACCAGGCACGCCAGTGACCTCCATGGGGAAGAGGGCGCAGTGTGTCAGTCCACCAGGCACGCCAGTGACCTCTGTGGGAGAAGAGAGAGCCCAGTGTGTTAGTTAGTCCACCAGGCATGCCGGTGACCTCCACGGGGCAGAGGACTCAGTATGTCAGTCCACCAGGCATGCCAGTGACCTCCATGGGGCAGAAGACCCAGTGTGTCAGTCCACCAGGCACGCCAGTGACCTCCGTGGGAGAAGAGAGAGCCCAGTGTGTTAGTTAGTCCGCCAGGCACACCGGTGACCTCCACGGGGAAGAGGGCGCAGTGTGTCAGTCCACCAGGCATGCCAGTGACCTCCACGGGGGATGAGGGCCCCGTGTGTTAGTCCATTAGGACTGTGAGTACAGACTAGTTTTGAAGGAGATGGAGTCTGGATTAAACATGAACATTTACCCTGCCAGTGCAACCACTGGTATGGTGGCTGAGCCTGAGTTGTTTTGTGAAGTGTGTGATGATGAACATTGTTTTGGAACTGAGTACCGCATGATTTAATGAAAGTGGAGCATTTTCCTCAAAGCAAGAGTGCAGTGACCCTTCTGAGAAAGTGTGAAGAGGTTTAGTAAGTGTCATCAAGCCCCGACTTGAGGAAGTTGCTGGTGAAGCTGTGCCAGACGTTTGTCTTTTCAGTTTTCCAGATTATAATAAAAACAGCTCTTTATTCACATCCCCTATCTTCAGAAGTAACCTAAACATGTTGTTGAAAGCTCCCACAGCCCATATGATGTAGAGGTAACAGACCCTTTAATTTTTTCTGTTAGAGGTAACTTCCATTGACAGTTTGGTTCAAATGCTTCCATACGCTTTTTTTTTTTTTTTGTGATATGCTAACATATATTGCTTCAATTTTATCATTATTTTTTTCCCAAAATGAAATACTAAATCCGCTATTCACAGCTTATGTTTTTAACTCAATATCAACTTGACTCTCTTTCATTTCCAGTACATGTTTTGAAAGTTTGTCCTTCTATGGCGGTACTGTAGTTCATGGAGCCAGTTTGCTATGATGAATGGTGCTGGGATGAGCATCTTGGCGCATACATCTTTCCATAGTTCTTCAACTTATGTGAGTTAAATTGAGTGTAAGCATGCTGTATCAAAGAGTATCAGTGCTCAACATTTAAACAGATCTTTGAAGTGACCTCCAAATACATTGGACAGGTTGACCCTCCTCCCCTGATGGTGAATGAGAGGATCCCTTTCTCCACACCCTAGCCAGGTTCTCAGTCTTTAGCTGTGACATATATCTGCTGCAGTGGGTTAGCAAACCCTGATCACCTGACACCTGAAGCCATTTTTCCCACCTGAAAGGAAGGCAAAGAATAACAAATGATTTCCCACTAGTTCTGGAAGAGGGGAAGCGAGTCATTCTCCATGAGCATAATTTTCAGAGTCTAACAGATCTGGGCTGAACTGTTCACTCAACAGATTGAACACCTGTTAGGTCCAGGGCCTGGTGATAAGACAGAACATGAGACAGACACAGCCCATCCTGACAAAGCTTCGTTCTTCTCTAATGTGACACGTCTCTCTAGCATCAGCCATAACATAGTCTGATAGGATCTGACTGTAGCTTAGAGGTGAGACTCAATCGTAGATCAGGTGTAAAGTGTCTGGCACATGTTGGGCTCTCATTAAATTACACTCTTCTGTCTTGTAGGGGATGCATCTTTAATTAGTAGCCTCAGTCCTCTTTGTAAATGTCAGCAACCAAATTTATTGAGGAAGTTGTGAGAATATTCAGTGTTCAGGCCAATCTGCAGTGGAATGAAATCTCAGGATCACTGTGTGTCTTGGTCGGGTTGGTTCATAGACTTTACCTAATTATCTTCCCACTGTTTCAAGGCCTCTTGGGGAGCAACTCAACTAAATGCTAATCTAGTTACAGGTAAATATGCTCAATATTTAATCAACAGATCTGGGCTGTATTCCTCTTGTCATGCACCCCATGAATATTTTATATGTAAATTATAAATAAGTTATGAAAGACATTTTCTGCATGAGGATTTTGCTTTGCATAACATAGAAAAAAATCTTTCAGGTTATATTAAATTTTTTCTTATAACAAATATAATACAGACTTATTATATAGAAAATTTGGGAAAACCAGAGAACTATAGGGAGCTCTCAATCTATATGCTGAGCAAATAATCCGAGAAGCTGGACTGTATGAAGAAAAACGTGGTATCAGGATTGGAGGAAGAATCATTAACAACCTGGGATATGCAGACGATACAACTTTGCTTGCTGAAAGTGAGGATGACTTAAGGCACCTACTGA